TCTAAGAATCTGTCCTGAAAATTAAGCAGCATTGATTTCCAAGAGACGCCTTTTATTCTTTTAATTTGTCTCGAGCGCCATTAATTCTCCTTACGCCTGTTCAAGATATAAAATAAAAGAAGCAATAGTCACAAACGGAATTTGAAAACGAGGCCATATCAAACGCTTCCCAAAATGCTACAACGAAAGAAAGGAGCCACGATATCCATTCATATTTAATTAGCAAGTTATATGGTATAAAAATGGCAGACATTGTGGTAGTTCTCGTTCTCTCTCGTTCTCTCTCGCTCTCTCTCGGACAGAGAATGTTTAGGCCTGACTGAAATCAGTCACACACGAAAGATGCATTGCGAATATCTCATCAACGTTTAGAAAATAACAAAAATAATCTGAAGTAGTTTAATTCGATTACCTGGTATGAATACGGTGGTACAATCGTGAACAAAAGAAAAATAACAACTTATAACATTAGCTTGATTAATTAGGCTACGTATGCGATTTTTTTGTTGCCTTCGCTCATTTTAATTTAGATACCTGCACAATATTTGCGGGTACTTTGTACTTATAAAACCATACATGGATACCAAGAAGCACTCATACGATATACAGATAATAATTCATTAAAACAAGGTTCTATATAATTATGTAGAGATGACAGGACGAAGTGGAATAGTTTATAAACGACGCGTTTCGCTAAAGCTCTGTTGGCTACTTCAGGTTCGAATGAAAGAGAAAACCATGTGTAAGAAAATCGCATTGGGGCTTTTGAGGATAAGAGAAGCAATTAATTAAACTGCCTTATCAGATCCGACGGCAAGAAAACAGAAAGTATTTATTTGTTTGTTATATATATATATATATATATATATATATATATAGATAGATAGATAGATAGATAGATAGATAGATATATGTATGTGTGTATGTGTGTTGTATTTTAAATCAGCCAAATGAAGCTTATATATCTATTCATCTATCTATCTATCTATCTTCTATATATATATATATATATATATATATATATATATATATATATATAATAGCACTGTTTCATTCTTTTTCGCTATAGCTTCTACTAATTTGCGCTATTTATCACTGATAATTTGGGGTGCCTCATTTTTTTTTGTTACATACATACACACGCATATATATATATATATATATATATATATATATATATATATATATATATATAGAGAAAAACGATATAAATAAAATAAGCTAAAACATGCTCTATTATCCTAATGATTGCCACAAAGAATACAAAGGAGAAACTTCAATAAATTTGAATGAAAGATTATATGAACCCAAAAGGGATCTTATACCAAACAACCCATTAAACGCAATAGTTGCTGAGTGTAACGAGACTGACCACAAATTTGATATAAATATGCTGATCTAATTAAAAGAGAAAACAATTCACTAAGATGAAAATGTCTTGAAAGTGCTTTGTCAACCACTTTATTGTTTGTCATTTTGCTATAAAATGTACTGATTTTGCTTTAAAAATATGCTGTTAATTTTATTTTAAATTTGTATTGTTGGTATTTTTTAAATATAAAAAAAAAAGTATTGTTGGTATTTTCACCATAAAATATATACTTATATAGAGGTTTGTTTTTGTTTGGGGCTTCACTATTTGCCCATAGTTGGAACCCTAACAGGTGCTACTACTCCGGCTCAGTATGGGTCTTTGAGCAACAGCAATTAAGAGGTGGTTCTAAGCTATTCAAATACCCCACTCTTCCGACCAGAGGCCTTGCTGCCGGGTGTAGTTTATTGTCATACCATTGACTACCTCTGCTTTGTAAGAAACAGCAAGCGAAAGAATAAGACTGGAGAAATAATTTGAGAAATTCAGTTTGTATAGGAAAACTGAACAAATTTTTTCAACAATTTCACCCCGCAGAAAAAGGTGACAAAGCCAATGAGATGCAAGGGTTAGTGAAAGTGAAGAGAACTAAGAAGAAAGAATAAAAAAAAAAACATTATTCGAAAAGAAAGTTGACGTTTCATTTAATTTTTTGAAGATCGTTGTTGACAAGAAAGCAAGGTGCAAGCACAGAGGCCCACAGGCCTTTTTTTTTACACCGCATTAAAAAGGCCTTGTGCCACATCCTGTCTAGAGGGGTGGTAAAGTAAATACACTTGCTTCGGAAATTAGTTGGAAATTCGTCTCCAGCTGAGCTGGTTGAACTTTCTGCCTTTGGACAGAGAGGAACACAGACTAGGCTTTGCCGAAGGGCAGAGTCTCGTCTGGGGTGGTAGACAGTTACCCGACCACGTGTATTCGGGGTCTACGGGAAATATTTGCCCGAGGCTAGGGGCTCGGATACCCCACGTTAAATTCGGCCTTGTGCTACATCTGACCGCGTGGGGCGGTTGGCAAATATCCTTGCACCGGCAATTTGTTGGGATTTCGTCTCGAGTTGTGTTTCTGCCTTCAGGCAGAACGCTCTGCCGAAGGGCAGAGTCTCGTCTGGGGTGGTAGACAGTTACCCGACCACGTGTATTCGGGGTCTACGGGAGAATATCCCACGACCGAGTCTGACCGGTTTGTAAATATCATTGCCCGCGTTAAATTTGGCTCTCGATTTGTGCCACATCTAACCGCGTAGGGCGACTTGTCAGATATCCTTGCGTCGGCAATTTTTTACCCGGTTGGGATTTCGTCTCCAGCTAAGGTAAATTACTTAGTGGAAATTTCTGCCTTCAGGCCTTCGGAGAGAGAAACCCCAGACAGGCTATGCCGAAGGGCAGAGTCTGGTCTGTGGTGGTAGACAGTTACCCGACCATGTGTATTCGCGGTCTACGGGGATATTTGCCCAATCTTAGGGGCTCGGATATCCCACGTTAAATTCGGCCTTGTGCTACATCTGACCGCGTGGGGCGGTTGGCAAATATCATTGCGTCGGCAATTTGTTGAGATTCGTCTCGATTTGTGCTTGTCGAACGCTCTGCCGAAGCAGCAGAGTCTCGTCTGGGGTGGTAGACAGCCTACCCGAACCCGCGTATACGGAGTTTTGGGGAAAAAAAAAATTTTTTGGAAGCCTCTTTGCTCGGTTTAATCCCCGCATTAAAAACGGCCCCGTGCCACAACCTGACACGCAAGGTGATAAGGTTTTTTACCTTGCTTCGGCAATTAGTTGGAGATTTTGCGTCTTCATGCATTTTGTCTTCTTGCAGTTGATGTTTAACCCTTTCCTCGTTCTTTAAGAAGGTATTTCTTTAATATTAGGAATCGACCGTAGTCGGGAGTATCGAGTCAATGCGAACGATCGTTTTCTTAGCTGCATCACATGACAGTGGATAATGACGTTGGTTAGATCCAGTGACAGTACTCAAAGAGTGTGAGTTCAAAACCCGGTTAAAGCAGTGGAGAACTTGGAGAGGGGAATTAACAGGAGATAACTGACAACTGACATCCATTAAACATGGCACGTGGAACTAGAACAGTCTACCCCAGTGAGCGAAATAAAGGGTTCAGTTCGACATTCCAACCACCTGAAGAAGGCCTTAGCAAACAACGGACAAAATGTTGTAATTAATATGGCGACAAAGATAAGGATAAGTCCAAATAATGTAAAGATAAGGATAATGTAAATAGTCTACATAATACCTCATCTCAGAAATATAGACAGATACAGAATGTGTTCTGTTCGATTCTGCACGTATTGAATTTTACAAGCCAGTCTTGGTCATTAGGGCTGGGTCATTCTTTTGGATGTACACCTATAAACTGATGTATCCTCCGCATAGATGTTCGCTAAAGATCAGATTTCAAACAAATAGAAATCTGCTGTTTGTAAAATCTGCAATAGATTGAACCCATTTTGTAGATTGCAATAATTTTTACTTGTCGAGTTCTAACAATTATGACTCAGCCATATTGAATAACTCAAGCTTTTACAGCGATACAAGTTGACTGTACTTTGAAGAAGACAAAACGACGGAAATGCCATTTGATATATAGTTGTGTTATTTGGCCAAACTAGCATTACCTATCTATCTATCTATCTATCTATCTATCTATCTATCTATCTATCTGTGTGTATGCATACATGATTACGTAGATAATATTGATATGCGCATATGCGTTCTTGTGCGAAGTTAGATATTATTAACACAGTTTTTGTCGTCTGCACCAGAAATCTTTCTGCGTTACGACTGCATATGAAGCCAACCATTGTTGAATAACCTCTTGTAGTTTCCGTCATGAAAAAAAAAACAAAAAAAACAATAAGATCAGAAAAAGATACTTATCTTATATGAGATAAGAATTACCTACTTTTTGTCAACATTTAGAAAACAATTATATTTATACACACGCACATATGCCACACACACGCACACACACACACACACACACACACATATATATATATATATATATATATATATATATATATATATATATATATACACGAATGGTTCCTGACAGGGTCTCTGCACAATCAAGAAGCATTTTTCCAACTTAATATGATGTTCGGATTTTAAGAAAGTGAATCTGGCTTAGAACTTTTCAGCATGTCATGTGATTATATATATCTCGTATATATATATATATATATATATATATATATATATATATATATATATATATATATATATATATATATATATATATATATATACATATATATATATATATATATATATATATATATATATATATATATATATATATATATATATATATATATATATATATATATATATATATATATATATATATATATATATATATATATATATATATATATATATATATATATATATATATATATATATATATATATATATATATATATATATATATATATATATGTATATATGTGTGTGTGTGTGTGTTTGTGTGTGTGTGTGTGTGTGTTTCAGTGAAGACAATTTTGAAATTTTTTATTCGCAAACTGTCTAGAAATTCTGTTCGTTTTCATTGTCTTTTCTACTTGGATCTTTTTCTTACTATTTCCTCCTCGGACTGAATACTTCCGTTTTTCATGCGTTTTGTCTTTTCTTTTTTTTATTCCTTTTTTTCTTTTTTCCTTTTCTACTTTCATTCCTTTTTTCGCGTCTATTTCGTCCAAAGATACAATCTTATATTATCCTATTCTCTCTTGACCATTTATTTATTCTTTTCGTTGTTACTCTCTTTTAGTTCAGCCATTGTTTTTCTTCGTCCTTTTGCCTCTTCCTTTCTTTTGCTTGCTCTCTTTTTTTCTCATTTTTATTCCATTTCTCATTCTTTCCTTTCTGTCTTATTGGCGTGTAAGATTAAATCTCCATATTCAACACTTTTCTTCACCTCTTGTTTCTTCTCTAACCCTAACCCTTCTACTTCTTTATTCCTTCTTTCTATTATCACTCTCTATTCTTTTCCCCCTTTTATTTCTTTCTTTATTTCTTTCTTTCTTTCTTTCTTTCTTTCTTTCTTTATCATTCTTTTCTTCTCTTTTATGTTGAAGAGTAAATCCTCTAAATTTTGTAGTTGGTTGATTTTGGCATCCCCGATATGCAATGTGCATGTTGGGTTGTCCCTTTTGCTAACAACCATGTATTGTGTCTTAATGCTTAGTCCTTTATTCTAGCTGTTCCTTCATTGTCATCTGTAATGGATATGTAGTTTCCTTTGTCATCTATCAACATTGTGTCATCTTCATATCTTATACCGTCAAGACTGCCACTGCCAATAATGAATCTTGGTAGAATTTCTATTTTTCTCAAAATGACCTCGCTGAATTAATCCAATTATAAGACACATCCTTGTGTTGCATCCTTTTCCAAGTGTCCATTTTGTTTTCATTTTTCGAAAACTTCGTCGTTGCTCACATCCATGGTATTCTTAGCATCCTTCTGTAGAACCACATTTCTGTTGATTGGAGTCTCTTCTTCATCTGTGAGGTGATCGTCCAGTATTCACTGTCATCTTGGAGGGCTGATTTTACACCACAGTTCAGTTGTCTTTTCTTTGTTTCTAACTAAATTTATTTGTTTTAATAAATAATGGCTGACAGTGCTTCATTTAAATTTTAAAAAAAAAAAAAAAAAAAGGCAAAATAAAGATAACATTACGAAAGTGTTGCGACCGGTTTGGTATAAAAAAAAGACGCACAACTCGTTTGATTATCTGTCTAAGAATCTGTCCTGAAAATTAAGCAGCATTGATTTCCAAGAGACGCCTTTATTCTTTTTAATTTGTCTCGAGCGCCATTAATTCTCCTTACGCCTGTTCAAGATATAAAATAAAAAGAAGCAATAGTCACAAACGGAATTTGAAAACGAGGCCATATCAAACGCTTCCCAAAAATGCTACAACGAAAGAAAGGAGCCACGATATCCATTCATATTTAATTAGTGTTATATGGTATAAAATGGCAGACATTGTGGTAGTTCTCGTTCTCTCTCGTTCTCTCGCTCTCTCTCGGACAGAGAATGTTTAGGCCTGACTGAAATCAGTCACACACGAAAGATGCATTGCGAATATCTCATCAACGTTTAGAAAATAACAAAAATAATCTGAAGTAGTTTAATTCGATTACCTGGTATGAATACGGTGGTACAATCGTGAACAAAAGAAAAATAACAACTTATAACATTAGCTTGATTAATTAGGCTACGTATGCGATTTTTTGTTGCCTTCGCTCATTTTAATTTAGATACCTGCACAATATTTGCGGGTACTTTGTACTTATAAAACCATACATGGATACCAAGAAGCACTCATACGATATACAGATAATAATTCATTAAAACAAGGTTCTATATAATTATGTAGAGATGACAGGACGAAGTGGAATAGTTTATAAACGACGCGTTTCGCTAAAGCTCTGTTGGCTACTTCAGGTTCGAAATGAAAGAAAAACCATGTGTAAGAAAAAATCGCATTAGGGCTTTGAGGATAAGAAGCAATTAATTAAACTGCCTTATCAGATCCGACGGCAAGAAAACAGAAAGTATTTATTTGTTTGTTATATATATATATATATATATATATATATATATATATATATATAGATAGATAGATAGATATATGTATGTGTATGTGTGTTGTATTTTAAATCAGCCAAATGAAGCTTATATATCTATCTCTATCATCTATCTATTCATCTATCTATCTATATATATATATATATATATATATATATATATATATATATAATAGCACTGTTTCATTCTTTTTTCGCTATAGCTTCTGCTAATTTGCGCTATTTATCACTGATAATTTGGGGTGCCTTTTCATTTTTTTTTTACATACATACATACACACGCATATATATATATATATATATATATATATATATATATATATATATATATAGTGAGAAAACGATATAAATAAAATAAGCTAAAACATGCTCTATTATCCTAATGATTGCCACAAAGAATACAAAGGAGAAACTTCAATAAATTTGAATGAAAGATTATATGAACCCAAAAGGGATCTTATACCAAACAACCCATTAAACGCAATAGTTGCTGAGTGTAACGAGACTGACCACAAATTTGATATAAATATGCTGATCTAATTAAAAGAGAAAACAATTCACTAAGATGAAAATGTCTTGAAAGTGCTTTGTCAACCACTTTATTGTTTGTCATTTTGCTATAAAATGTACTGATTTTGCTTTAAAAATATGCTGTTAATTTTATTTTAAATTTGTATTGTTGGTATTTTTAAATATAAAAAAAAGTATTGTTGGTATTTTCACCATAAAATATATACTTATATAGAGGTTTGTTTTTGTTTGGGGCTTCACTATTTGCCCATAGTTGGAACCCTAACAGGTGCTACTACTCCGGCTCAGTATGGGTCTTTGAGCAACAGCAATTAAGAGGTGGTTCTACGCTATTCAAATACCCCCACTCTTCCGACCAGAGGCCTTGCTGCCGGGTGTAGTTTATTGTCATACCATTGACTACCTCTGCTTTGTAAGAAACAGCAAGCGAAAGAAATAAGACTGGAGAAATAATTTGAGAAATTCAGTTTGTATAGGAAAACTGAACAAATTTTTCAACAATTTCACCCCTGCAGAAAAAGGTGACAAAGCCAATGAGATGCAAGGGTTAGTGAAAGTGAAGAGAACTAAGAAGAAAGAATAAAAAAAAAAAACATTATTCGAAAAGAAAGTTGACGTTTCATTTAATTTTTGAAGATCGTTGTTGACAAGAAAGCAAGGTGCACAGAGGCCCATAGGCCCTTTTTTTTACACCGCATTAAAAAGGCCTTGTGCCACATCCTGTCTCGAGGGGTGGTAAAGTAAATACACTTGCTTCGGAAATTAGTTGAAATTAGCTGGTTGAAATTTTCTGCCTTTGGACAGCTGAGCTGGTTGAACAGAGTCTCGTCTTGGACAGACAGTTACCCGACCACGTGTGACAGGGTCTGGGGCTTTGCTGAGGCTAGGGGCTCGGATACCCCACGTTAAATTCGGCCTTGTCTCTGACCGGTGGTAGACAGGCAATTGTTGACCACGTTGTATTTGGGGTCTACCGGAGAATTTTTGACCACGTGTGTTCGTCTCGGTTGCCGTCAAGGTCTGCCGAAGGCAGGCCCGACCACGTGTATTCGGGGTCCTATACCCCGCGTTAAATTTGGCCTTGTGCCACATCTAACCGCGTAGGGCGACTTGCAGATATCCTTGCGTCGGCAATTAGTTGGGATTTCGTCTCCAGCTAAGCTAGTGGAAATTTCTGCCTTCAGGCAGAGAGGAACCCAGACAAGGCTATGCCGAAGGGCAGAGTCTGGTCTGTGGTGGTAGACAGTTACCCGACCATGTGTATTAGCGGTCTACGGGAAATATTTGCCCGAGCTTAGGGGCTCGGATATCCCACGTTAAATTCGGCCTTGTGCTACATCTGACCGCGTGGGGCGGTTGGCAAATATCATTGCACCGGCAATTTGTTGGAGATTCGTCTCGATTTGTGCTTGTCGAACGCTCTGCCGAAGGGCAGAGTCTCGTCTGGGGTGGTAGACAGCTACCCGAACCCGCGTATACGGAGTTTAGGGGAAATTTTTTACCCGAGCCTACGTGCTCGGTTTAATCCCGCATTAAAAACGGCCTTGTGCCACAACCTGACACGCAGGGTGATAAGGTAAATTACCTTGCTTCGGCAATTAGTTGGAGATTCGTCTCCAGCTGAACTGGTAGAACTCTCTGCCTTCGAGCGAAGAGGAAAACAGACGAGGCTTTGCTGAAGGACAGAGTCTCGTCTAGAGTGATAGACAGTTACCCGACCACGTGTATTCGGGGTCTACGGGGAATTTTTGACCGAATCTAGGGGCTCGGATACCTCACGTTAAATTTGTCCTTGTGCCACATCTAACCGCGTGGGGCGATTTGCAGATATCCTTGCGTCGGCAATTAGTTGGGGATTCGTCTCCAGCTAAGCTAGTGGAAATTTCTGCCTTCAGGCAGAGAGGAACCCAGACAAGGCTATGCCGAAGGGCAGAGTCACCTGCCTGACCCCGTTTTTTACGGGGTCTACAAGGAATGTTGTCCGAGAAAAAAAAATTGCTTTTGGAAGGCATCTTTGGTTATCCCTGTGCTTCATCGGATTTCATTGCCACCCGTTCCATCGTCTGTTAAAATATTTCCAAGATATTTAAATTTTTGTACTTGTTTGATTTTGGTATCTCTAATTTGTAATTTGCATTTTGCACTTAGCACTTTACTAATAACCATGCATTTTGTCTTCTTGCAGTTGATGTTTAACCCTTTCCTCGTTCTTTAAGAAGGTATTTCTTTTAATAATAGGAATCGACCGTAGTCGGGAGTATCGAGTCAATGCGAACGATCGTTTTCTTAGCTGCATCACATGACAGTGGATAATGACGTTGGTTAGATCCAGTGACAGTACTCAAAGAGTGTGAGTTCAAAACCCGGTTAAAGCAGTGGAGAACTTGGAGAGGGGAATTAACAGGAGATAACTGACAACTGACATCCATTAAACATGGCACGTGGAACTAGAACAGTCTACCCCAGTGAGCGAAATAAAGGGTTCAGTTCGACATTCCAACCACCTGAAGAAGGCCTTAGCAAACAACGGACAAAATGTTGTAATTAATATGGCGACAAAGATAAGGATAAGTCCAAATAATGTAAAGATAAGGATAATGTAAATAGTCTACATAATACCTCATCTCAGAAATATAGACAGATACAGAATGTGTTCTGTTCGATTCTGCACGTATTGAATTTTACAAGCCAGTCTTGGTCATTAGGGCTGGGTCATTCTTTTGGATGTACACCTATAAACTGATGTATCCTCCGCATAGATGTTCACTAAAGATCAGATTTCAAACAAATAGAAATCTGCTGTTTGTAAAATCTGCAATAGATTGAACCCATTTTGTAGATTGCAATAATTTTTTACTTGTCGAGTTCTAAATCAATTATGACTCAGCCATATTGAATAACTCAAGCTTTTACAGCGATACAAGTTGACTGTACTTTGAAGAAGACAAAACGACGGAAATGCCATTTGATATATAGTTGTGTTATTTGGCCAAACTAGCATTACCTATCTATCTATCTATCTATCTATCTATCTATCTATCTATCTATCTATCTATCTATCTATCTATCTGTGTGTATGCATACATGATTACGTAGATAATATTGATATGCGCATATGTTTCTTGTGCGAAGTTAGATATTATTAACACAGTTTTTGTCGTCTGCACCAGAAATCTTTCTGCGTTACGACTGCATATGAAGCCAACCATTGTTGAATAACCTCTTGTAGTTTCCGTCATGAAAAAAAACAAAAAAACAATAAGATCAGAAAAAGATACTTATCTTATATGAGATAAGAATTACCTACTTTTTTGTCAACATTTAGAAAACAATTATATTTATACACACACGCACATACAGACACACACACACACACACACACACACATATATATATATATATATATATATATATATATATATATATATGGTTCTGACAGGTCTCTGCACAATCAAGAAGCATTTTTCCAACTTAATATGATGTTCGGATTTTAAGAAAGTGAATCTGGCTTAGAACTTTTCAGCATGTCATGTGATATATATATATATATATATATATATATATATGTGGGTATATATATATATATATATATATATATATATATATATATATATATATAACCGCATATATATATATATATATATATATATATATATATATATATATATATATATATATATATATATATATATATATATATATATATATATATATATATATATATATATATATATATATATATATATATATATATATATATATATATATATATATATATATATATATATATATATATATATATATATATATATATATATATATATATATATATATATATATATATATGTATGTGTGTGTGTGTTTGTGTGTGTGTGTGTGTGTTTGTGTGAAGACATATTTTTGCAAATAATGAATTTTATTCGCAACTGTCTAGAAATTCTGTTCGTTTTCATTGTCTTTTCTACTTGGATCTTTTTCTTACTATTTCCTCCTCGGACTGAATACTTCCGTTTTTCATGCGTTTTGTCTTTTCTTTTTTTTATTCCTTTTTTTTCTTTTTTTTTTTTCTTTTTCATTCCTTTTTTCGCGTCTATTTCGTCCAAAGATACAATCTTATATTATCCTATTCTCTCTTGACCATTTATTTATTCTTTTTCGTTGTTACTCTCTTTAGTTCAGCCATTGTTTTTTTTCGTCCTTTTGCCTCTTCCTTTCTTTTTGCTTGCTCTCTTTTTTTCTCATTTTATTCCATTTCTCATTCTTTCCTTTCTGTCTTATTGGCGTGTAAGATTAAATCTCCATATTCAACACTTTTCTTCACCTCTTGTTTCTTCTCTAACCCTAACCCTTCTACTTCTTTATTCCTTCTTTCTATTATCACTCTCTATTCTTTTCCCCCTTTTATTTCTTTCTTTATTTCTTTCTTTCTTTCTTTCTTTCTTTCTTTCTTTATCATTCTTTTCTTCTCTTTTATGTTGAAGAGTAAATCCTCCTCCCCATTCTTTCTCTTCTTCCCGTTATCGTTGGAAGTAAGCTTTCTTTCTTTCTTTCTTTCTTTCTTTCTTTCTTTCTTTATCATTCTTTTCTTCTCTTTTATGTTGAAGCGTAAATCCTCCTCCCATTCTTTCTCTTCTTCCGTTATCGTTGGAAGTAAGCTTTCTTTCTTTCTTTCTTTCTTTCTTTCTTTCTTTCTTTTCTTTCTTTCTTTCTTTATCATTCTTTTCTCTTTTATGTTGAAGCGTAAATCCTCCTTTCTTCTTCTTCCTGTTATCGTTGGAAGTAAGCTTTCTTTCTTTCTTTCTTTCTTTCTTTCTTTCTTTCTTTCTTTCTTTATCATTCTTTTTTCTCTTTTTGTTGAAGCGTAAATCCTCCTCCCATTCTTTCTTTTCTTCCCGTTATCGTTGGAAGTAAGCTTTCTTTCTTTCTTTCTTTCTTTCTTTCTTTCTTTCTTTCTTTCTTTATCATTCTTTTCTTCTCTTTTATGTTGAAGCGTAAATCCTCCTCCCCATTCTTTCTCTTCTTCCCGTTATCGTTGGAAGTAAGCTTTCTTTCTTTCTTTCTTTCTTTTTTCTTTATCATTCTTTTCTTCTCTTTTATGTTGAAGCGTAAATCCTCCTCCCCATTCTTTCTCTTCTTCCCGTTATCGTTGGAAGTAAGCTTTCTTTCTTTCTTTCTTTCTTTCTTTCTTTCTTTCTTTCTTTCTTTATCATTCTTTTCTTCTCTTTATTTCTTCCTCCTCCCATTCTTTTCTTCTTTTATCGTTGGAAGTAAGCTTTTCTTTCTTTCTTTCTTTCCCCTTTCTTTTTTCTTTCTTTATCATTCTTTTCTTCTCTTTTTTGTTGGAAGTAAATCCTCCTCCCCATTCTTTCTTTCTTCCCGTTATCGTTGGAAGTAAGCTTTCTTTTCTTTTTCTTTCTTTCTTTCTTTCTTTCTTTCTTTCTTTCTTTCTTTCTTTCCCCTTTAGAATGAAGAGCACAACTTCCTTGTCTTCCTCTTTTTACTATTATTATTTTTGTATTTTCCTTCTCTTTACTCATTTTCTTTCTTCTTCCTTCTCTATAGATGTACTTTACCTCCATTATATCACTTCGCTTCTTCTTATCTTTCCTCTCTCCATTCTTCCATATTTCCTCCTCCTTTTTTTTTCTTCTTCCATCTTTCCTTTTATTCTTCTCTACTTTCTCTTCCATTTCTCCTTCCAAGTTTTTTTTTACTGTTCATGGTCATTCTTTCATTTCTTTTTGTTGATTGCCATATCTGTTTCTTCTTCTTCTTCTTCTTCTTCTTCTTCTTCTTCTTCTCCTCATCATCCTTATTTTTTCTTCTTCTTCTTTTCCTCTTCTTCCTTCTTCTCACCCTCCTCTTCTTCTTCTTCTGCTTCTTCGCCTCCGTCTCCTTATCCCCTCCTTCTTATCCTCCTCCTCCTTATTTTTTATTCTCCTCTTGTTCCTCTTTTCATTCTTCTTCTCTTCTTCCTCCCCGTCTTCTTTTTCTTCTACTTCTTCTTATCCTCCTCCTCATCATCATACTTATTTTTATTTCCTCCTCCTCTCCCTTCTTCATTTCTTCTACTTCTTCTTCTTCGCCTCCGTCTTCTTATCCTCCTCCTCCTCCTCTTCTTCTTGTTTTTCTTTTTCTCCTCTTGTTCCTCTTTTCCCTCTGCTTCTGTTCTTCTTCTTCTTCGTCATCTTATCCTCCTCCTCTTTTTCTTCTTCTCCAACTCCTCTCCTCCATCTTCTTATCCTCCTTCTCTTTTTCTTCTTTTTTCTTCTTTCCCACCTCTTTCTTCTTCTTCTTCTTCTTCTTCTTCTCTTGTTCCTCTTTTCCCTCTGTTTCTGTTCTTTTTTTCTTTTTCTTCTTCTCCGTCATCTTATCCTCCTCCTCTTTTTCTTCTCCAACTCCTCTCCTCCTTCTTCTTCTTATACTCCTTCTTTTCTTCTTCTTCCTCTTCTTTCCCTCTCCTTTTTTCTTCTTCTTATCCTCCTCTTTCTTTTTTCATCTTTCTTCTTCTTCTTCTTCTTCTTCTTGTGATTCTTTCTTTTTTCCCAACCTGGTATTAAAGATAAGGAATATTTCTTCTTGAAGAAAAGAACATGAAAAGAAATGCCAACGCAAAGAAGATATCGTTACATTCATGTGATAATAATTATCGGACCGAAAATAAAGACGCGAAAAACCGACAGAAAATTAGAAAAGAAGGCAAGCATTAAAATAATACAAAGAAAAAAAGATGAAAAAAAAAAAATCCAATCAAGACGACTTACAATGGAGTCAATAGGGTGTAATGAGATCTGTAATATGAAATACGTAAATGCGTCCATATTGATTTGTCTTATGTTCCATGACACTGAAGCAAACGCACTCTTGTTCACACACACACACACACACACACACACACACACATATATATATATATATATATATATATATATATATATATATATCATAGAAGAAATGTTTCATGTTAAAACATGAATTGTCGTTATATTTTGTCATTTTGAGATGAGTCATTTTCATTCCAAGAGTTGCTGAGACTATTAACCCTATTGATTTTGTTTTGCTCATTTGTTTTTTTTTGGGTGGGGTTATTTATTTATTTTTATTTTTTTTTTTTTTAATTTTTTTGTTGTTTTTTTGTCATTATCGTAACATCGTTTCGGTCGACCAATTGTAAAACCTTCTCAGGTGTACAATCTGTATGGAAGATAACTTCTATAATTTCGAGAAAAAGTCATTATCATTACAAATGCTGTTTCAAGTACCGAATATGTTTTTTTTGTTTGTGTGTGTAGCTCTTGTGCTTATCGCAACGTGTCGCCAACATTTACTCAAACTGTTACCAGATAAACCCATATTTTTCTAAACACAATTATAAACATTGTATGAATTTCTAATCTTAGAAATTGTATTATCTCACGAAGTGCTACAAGATAAAGTACTGAAAATGCCTTTTTCTCTATGTGTGATTGTAATAATTTAAGATCAAACTGAAGAGTATTTTCTTGACGTAGCGTTTGATGAGTATGAGGCTAATTAATATTGACAGTAGGGAAGATAAAGTAACCGAGGTTATATTTCTGCGGACAAGTTAAAAGCGAGAAAGAGTGTGCGTGTGTGTGTGTGTGTGCGATAGAGAGAGAGAGAGAGAGAGAGAGGGAGAGAGACGGAGATCCAAGAGAAAGAAAGATTTATCCACCTATGAATAAGTGAAATCAACTCATCTGAAAAGCGACCTTTTAGTGATCGCAAACATACACATTCGAAAAGACTGACCAGCCTTTCTCTCCATATATACAACGCTTTTCGTTCCTGATGAACTGATATTTTTTTTTTTTTTCTCAATAAGAATTTTTTTTTTACGTTGTGTTCGTTATGGTTTTCGACAGAAACCTTTCTTTTATTATCAGGGAATGTCCGTAACTTGTTTGGAAAGATAATGAAACAGTTATCCATGGATTCAGACTGGCTGCTATCCAAGGTGGTTAGGGGAAGTGACACATTCATGTCTTGACCCAAACCAGGAGAGTGTAAGCGAGCGCAACGGATTAGGGTGGGATTTGATCTCGGCTTGCCGATTCTATGCTACGCAACGTTAACAGTTGCCCTACACTTAACTTTTAGATTTACATTTTCCTTGTAATCATTTCACACCAAGCAAGGCAATAATGCCACAAAGATGCAAGAGGATATTAGAAGTTTAAAAAAAAAACGTTAGGAGAAATTACAATACAAGTACAAGAACAAGAAAGACGGAAAAGGACGATTGACATTGCATTTATTAACATCTTTTCCAAAATGTTTGCACTTTGTCCATGATAAGTATTGCCTGACTTTATAGTGAAGATTTTATATTCATTTGGCCTATTATTAGGTTGGTGCAAAAATAGTGACGTAATAATGTCGTTTACTGACGTTAAAAAATACGTCAAAAAACGACATTATTACGTCATTATTTTTGCACCAACCTAATATTATCATAATTATTATTAGAGACAAAAGGACGGCAACAATGTGACAATGGGATAAATGCATATAAAGCCCAATGTACTTATCATAACACCCAGTTTGTGAGGAGTATATCAGGTACATGCATCACAGCCAAATGTGAACGATATGTATCTGTTTATACATCTGAGATGAGGTATTATGTACACTATTTACATTATTCGGACTATCGTCCTCATCTTTGTCGCCATATTTATCACAACGTTTCGGCCGTTGTACGCCCCGGCCTCCTTCAGGTGGTTGGAATGTCGAACTGACCCCTTTATTTCATTATTTATTTATAACAGCAAAAAATGCAATATGAGCTCTGGTAAAAATGGTTGCAGAAGACATTGAGTTTTATAAGTCCCAGGAATTCATACACAGATGTCCTTAAAGACACATGACACAGTGGATAAAGGCGTTGGTTAGATCCAAGTGACAGGACCCAAAGCATTGTGAGTTCAATACCTGGTTAAGTCAGTGGAAAACTTGGAGAGGGGAATTAACAGGAGATAACTGATAACTGAAATCCATTAGACTTGGCTACCCCAGTGAGAGAAATAAAGGGTTCAGTTCGCCATTCCATGCAACTTAAGAAGGCCGAAGCGTACAACGGCCGAAACGTTGTTATAAATATGGCAATAAAGTTGAGGACGATAGTCCGAATAATGTAAATAGTGTGAATTATATGGTAACATATTTTAATAAAAACGACAGATAAGGTTTACTATGTCGTTCCAGAATTTTTTTCTTGTCAGAACATATGTTGCACATTCCTAAATCTGAAATTCTTCTCCGTGCATTGAATATTACTGCCACATCTTGTCCAGTGCTCTCGAGTTTCTTCATAACATTAAAAGAAATCTCAAAAATATGGCACATGGAAACGTCAACAATCCCTGTTGTAGTTGGAGCCCTCGGATTGGTTGGAAAAGGTTCAAGTAGACTAATTGAAGGGATACCTGGAAGTCCATGCCTTAAAGAAATACAAAAATTGTTCTCACCAATACAGTCCACACCTTACAATGAGCTTTATCTATATGTGTTGTGGTAGGATCCACCTAATTTGCATAGTGGAGTACCGACCATATAAATATGGTTGGTACCGGGAAGAGAGGGAGGAATCAAGAGATTCAATCCAGAGACTCTGCCCGACTGCGACTAAGTCAACCCATTCTCCAGGAACGGTCTTCCCAAGAATATACAAAAGTCTATATGTAAATATTGTGTACACTTTTTTGTTTCAATACATTTTGTTCTAAGTACATTTTGTGTTGCATTATTATTCCATGGATTAGTCAAGTTTCAACAATATGTTTGTGGTTTTTTTTTTAATTGGTCAATGGAAAATGTCATGATGCCATTTCTAACCTTGGGTTTCTGAACGGGATCCGAAAAAAAATGTGTACACACCAGAAATCAAAGGAAATAATAATAATAATAATAATAATAATAATAATAATAATATCGTGATTATTGACCACAAGAACAGAATGTGCTTTCTTATTGAAATGGCAATCCATGTAGATTGGAATGTATCTTTGAAAATTTTCAAAAAATAACAAAATATATGGATCTTTAAATGGAAATATGAAAAATATGGCTCATGAGGGCATCAATAATTCCAGCTGTAATTCGAGCTCTTGGATTGCTTGGAAAAGATTCCGATAGACGCATTGAAAGGATTCCTGATAGTCCGTACATTAAAGGAATACAAAAAAATGGTACTCACAACTACAACTCACACATTACGAAGAACTTTATATACGTAAAATGTGTAAGATCTTAGTTTTTTGTTTTTTTACAAAAAACGATCAGTGGAAAAGGTCATGAAGCCATTTCTGATCTTAAGTCTCTGGTTGGAACCCGGAAGGAAATGTGTATGCAACAGAAATCCAACGAAGAAATTTAAAAAATGTGGCACATTTGAACATCAACAATTCTTGTTGTAATTGGAGCCGTTGGATTGGTTGGAGAAGATTCCATTAGACTAATTGAAGGGATTCCTGGAAGCCCATGCCTCAAAGAAATTTCAAAAAGTTGTTCTCACAAGTAAAGCCCATACTTTACGAAGGGCCTTATCTATGTAAAATATGTTTGTGGTTTTTTTTTTAATTGGTCAGTGGAAAATGTCATGATGCCATTTCTAACCTTAGGTCTCTGGGCGGGACCCAGAAAGAAATGTGTACACGCCAGAAATCAAAGGAAATAAAAACAATAATAATGTTATATACGAATAAAGTGTCTCTACTGGGGTTTGAACATAGATCGCCAGTGAGCAAACATGATCTATCCCATTTTGAATAAGTGATTGCAAAGGAAATATATATATATATATATATATATATATATATATATATATATATATATATATATGGAAATTAGCGTGGCATGTAATTCATCACTCTTTTCTAATCTATCCTCTATTACTCTACAGATCACCATTTCTATTCTATCCTCTATTACTCTACGGATCACACTTTCTATTCTATCCTCTATTACTCTACGGATCACTATGTCTAGTCTATCCTCTATTACTCTAGGGATCACAACTTCTATTCTATCCTCTATTACTCTACGGGTCACTCTTTCTTTTCTATCCTCTATTACTATACGGATCACCATTTCTATTCTGTCCTCTATTACTATACGGATCACTGTTTCTGTTCTATCCTCTATTACTCTACAGATCACCATTTCTATTCTATCCCCTATTACTCTACGGATCACACTTTCTATTCTATCCTCTATTACTCTACGGATCACTATGTCTAGTCTATCCTCTATTACTCTACAGATCACCATTTCTATTCTATCCCCTATTACTCTACGGATCACTCGTTCTATTCTATCCTCTATTACTATATGGATCACTCTTTCTACATTATCCTCTATTCTCTATAATATTCAATATACTATTTTTCTATACTCATCAGAACACTGATTACCATTCGGTGGTTACTTTTCGAATGAGTATTATCGAGCAAGAACTATTGGTGCGAGTGTCATTCGAAGGCGTCTAACACCAGTATTGTTCAACGGCGTTACTATAGTTGTACCTGCGAT